AACAGTGAAAAACAAAAACAGATTATTTACTCTGTAAAATAAAATATATAGAAGTCAGAATTCTGAGATGAACACAGTAGCAAAAGAGATCCAGCAAATTCTGAGATGAATACAGTAGCAAAGGCAAGTGAACATGACGAAATAGTCAGAAAACTATGTCTTTAAGTGATAGAAATGTTTAAATATATCTGCACCAAATGATAGCAACTACAACACAGAAAAGAAAAAAGAAAGAAAAAGAAATCAGTACATATAATCAATGAATCACTTGATCTTACCTTGCTCCTGGTTGCTTATTAATGTTTGAAGAGCTATTGCTGCTTCTACTTTGACAGGCATTTCCTTATCTTCAATCAGGCTCTTCTTTGCCAGCTCTACTGCATTTCTTAAGTTTAGCTCATTGTGGAATTTCAAAGCACTGAATGAATGAAGAACCCAGCAGGACTGCATGGCAGAAAGAAAAGCAAGTTAGGGGCTGCATTTTTAAGCTAATTTTAAAATGATGCTAACCATCTCTGTTCACATACGTTTTTTGCATTCTAAATTATGGTATACGCATGCAATATCAAGTAATACAGTTTCTGCATTCAAGCCATTCTTTCTTTTCCTTCCCCAAATTCCAATATATTCAGTATGCATAATTGATATTCACAGTTTCAGTCCTTCTAGAGAAAATTCGAAAGGAAATTTAAGAAAATTAACAGCTTAGTGTTATGGGCTGATATGGACATTCAGGAATTTTGCCCAAGCAACACTTTAGCTGGTAGACTCTTTAAAGCTGGTAAACTCTGTAAAAACCCTACCCGTTTTTCACAACTGTCAACAGCTCAAGCTATTGGGAGATATTAATGAAAAACATGCATAAAGAGGCCTTTATAGGTCACCAAACCACCACTGCTCAAATCGTCCAGTCTGATCAAAGTGAACAACGACACAACACAGATTTTCTTTTAACTCCTTTAACTGAAAATTCATTTTTAAAATCAAAACACTGAAAGATTATTGTCCAAGCTAGTTGTTTGAAAGTATACTATGTATTTGGATTGTTTTATGCATTTTAGTAACGTTCAGAAAGAAAAACTACAACAGAAAGAATCCCGGTAAATACTGAAATCGATGTGCTTTGTGAACTTACTCTAGCTCTGAGGTACCCCAGGTTAGACATGAACAACGGAAATACATGATTCTGTAACATCAGCTCCATCTGATCCTTGAATACACTCTTCTGTTGATGTAAATAAAAACAATTTTGGAGACTGTTCATCTTACATACTCCATTTAAGCCGCTGATCTATTTTAACCAACTTGTTATTGGAAAATACAGTGGCTTGTAAACCTACTAAAGGTATTCTCTGCCTTAAGAAGAGCTCTACACCTCATACTCTGAGTGGAAAAAACATTGTAAGGATAGGAAATCAAAAGCCAGACAAGTGAAGAACCTGTATATATAACATTGAAATCTATATTACTGTTTATAACATTGTACCTGGAAAATATATATTTTTTGTAACGCAACTGATTCCAGAAGATTTTTTGCTCTTAAAAATGACTGAGGATCGAGTCTAGTGTTCTGTGTCCTCCTACAAAGAAGTGCATACATAGCTGAAGATAAATAGACCATACTAAACGGTCAGCTAAGTTAATCCCCTTGTGACAGAAACCTCCTTGGCTGGAGAAGGATATTCAGTGAAAACTATTCCTCATTATTCCAAACTTGCCAAATCCCAAGAGTTCACAGAAAGCCAGGACCACCAGCATAGAGACTTGGGACTTTTCTAGCATCTACAGCTCCCATATATGAGGAAGGATGTATGCTGGGCACTGTGTAAACAGCTAAGATAGGAAGAGGGTGAAAGGACACATACAATACAAAATATATCTTAAGTGATCACACTTGTGCTTCACTAATCCATACATCAATTTTTCACACATGCATTTCCAAGCCTTCAAGGAGGCAGATGAAAAAAACTGGGGAGAAAAAAAAAACAGTACAGAGAAGCCAAAAGAACATTCTGTTCTGCACACAGGTTAAAGATTTGCATGCATTAAACTGAAGCCTCTATGGAGATGCAGGTGGCTAAATCAGAGTCACAGTGTGCACAGGCTAGTTACAATCTCTATCTCACTCAACTCGTCAAGTCAGAAGACACTTGCAACTCATATATTTTATGCAGAAACAGATCACAGATTTTTTCTGTCTGACAAATCAACAGGAAACTCAGAGTAGAGAGAGGGAGTGTTTGGGAATGACTGCTTTTCTATGAAGCGTATTATAACCTCATGTTTCAAGGCTGCAAATTTCAAATAGTTGCAGTATTCTGGAATAAATCTCCCTTTTTCCTCAGGGCAGCAATAAATGGGTTTAAAAACCCCCTTTCAACATGAAAGGCTCCTCACAACAATGTCTTCCTCTTCACTGTCACACCCCAACAAGAGGGAGGGCATTTACATTCCAATGCAATCTACAAACATTTGCAAAAGATATTCCAGGATTTCACATCAGCTGATGGGCAGGTACATTGGTAAAAAGCTAAATGCTGGTCATACTTTCTATGAATCCTAGCTGACACATTCTGTACAGGAAGAAAACTCACATAAAATATTTTTTGTGTGTATTTCCAAAAGGAAGCCTTCAGCACAAGGCTTGTCATTCTAAAAGTGTCAGCTTTTCAGCATTACTTTTGACATGGAGAGAGAGCACACCTTGGACTCCACACTGTACAAAAGCATAAGGGAAACGGTAAAAAGCATCTTCTACCACACAAGCATGGATTAAATGCATTCTCCAGCACACAAAACAGAAAAATATGCAACACTGTGAAGATACAGTGATAGAAAGAATGGACGAAGGACAGAAGCTGTCTGCTCCTTCCACTTTTATTTACAAAACTCTCAACTGGCTGACACAATGAGACTTAGAGCCACATATTGTGCAGCAAGAAGGCTGAAAACTAGACAAAACATTCCTGCAATGTGTTAAGCAAACATTTTCCTTGAACCGAAGAAGCAGCCCACAACAGTGTAAGCTGTTGGGTTTTTTGCTAAAAAATCATAAGCAATGTCACTGACAGAATGCATGTTTGTTTTCTTAACACCCTTCCACTTTCCTAGTAAAGCAGAAGAGGACCAAGGGACTGTTCCATAGCAAAAAGAAGAGGAGTTTTGGAGAAACTTGGAAGAAAAATGGGAAGATAATAAATAAATAAATGTTAATAGTGTTAAGGAAACCAACTGTCAAGTTCTTACTATACAGTGCAGTCTCTCTACAGATTTCACAAACGCAACAAAGGGCTAAGAATACTTTATAAGCTACCTTTTGTGGGGGGGAGGGAGTGGAAGGGAATTACACCTGATAACAAGACTTACAAAATAAACCTATTTCACTTCCTTATCCACTTACCTTCAGTAAAATATCAGCTAGGGATCCTATAACATGCAAAGCTCCATCCTTTCTTCTTGGATCAATGTTTGGCTCTGTCAGAATCTGGTAGCAATATGCCATCATTTTTGGTAATACCTATATACGAGATAGAAAACACAAGATTTCCTTTTGTCAATGAGGAATCTAAACCAAATTATTTCAATAACATAGTTTTAGTTAAAAAGATTCATATGATTTTCATAAGTAGAAATTTTAACTGGTCCAAGTAACTGTGAGGTAATATGTGTAGCACCCTTCCACAGTTAAAATTTAAAAGTTTTTTTTTCAAGCTTTTTAGAAGCTGCTTTTTCAGTATCCAGTATTCGTGTATCTCTGTAGAAATTATGACAGGGAGATCAAAAGGCAAGGACTGTTTTAACAACGGAGAAGTAGAAAGCTCAAAGGCTATTCCACTCGACATAAAGACTAGGCTCTTCTCTGAAAACTCATCAAGAATCAGAGCTCTGTGCTTGCTGTGTATCAAAATGGCATGCAGAAAAAAGTTAGCAGCTTTAGCAAACTGACACACATGTTTCAGGGCTAGGCTGACTTCCCTTTGCACATATCATTGTAAGTATTGAAAGAAATACAGAATAGTTATGTCCTCGTCCACAGAGCAGCTGTATGAAATTGGTTTCGTTCTTGCTAATTTCATTGCTGTCAGCACAAATAGCATTTAAATAGCAAGGATTAGGTTCACTTTTCCTCCTGTTCCAGTTAGGGAAGTTGGGAAGAGCCATGACAGGGAGGCTGTTTGTAAACTTGGGAAACCATCACTACATCTGTTCCAGCTCAGTTTGTATCTGGCAGGTCAACTGCTCCGGTGCAAGAGGAATCCTTTTATTTGTTTGCTTGTTTACATTTTAATTCTGGCAAATTTGTTAGCACTCAGTCAAGAAGGCATCTGACTACCTACTAACAGATAATTCTTTCACAAATGCCTTTCTACAGCATCTTCAAACTTAAGGAAAGACAACATTTAAGGAAACTTGAAACCGTTAGGAAGGATTGGTTCCATACCTCTTTTCTCTTCTTTGCTGCAGTATAAAGGAGATTCTGTGCTGCTGTTGTAGTGGATGCATAATCTTCAAATACATCTAACAAATAATAACAACAGAAAAACTCTCCTCACTGAATATAACATAACAGAGAGCAGAAAAATTCTGATAAACACTTTTGAGTTTTCTGGGACATCAGAAAATCAGGTGACTGTATGTCTTCAAAACCTTTTATGGATGTTTTCGCTTCATGGTTAGAGTTTGGATTTAAGTTTAGATCACCTGCATGAAGCATTTACTTCTTGCCTTCCTAACCTACCGACCACTTATCATTTTTATTTATTCTTTAGTTCTTTTGAGAGTATGTATTTAAGGGAGGAAAAAAGTTTTTTTTTTTTTTTTATTAAAACCATTATAGGAAGAATAACACTGCATTCCAGTGCCATCTGTATATCAGGCTTGATTTTATTACAATCTTATGGGAAACTCTTCATATGTAAAAAAATATTCTGATCTGGGAGAATCTTAAATTTGCTGAAAGTTGAAGCTTTTTACATCTCTTTCCTTACAAGTAAACTCCTTTCATCATACTGAACTATAATTTGGACCTTGAAAAATAATAATCTGTGCTGCCAAACATATTCTAGCCCAAACATCTCTACACAAATTGAATTAAATAAAAAAGGCAAAGATAATCTCCAAATGTGGCTGAAATTACAGAGTATCTTCTCCTAAGATGTTGAAGATAAAATGAATTGAAAAAAGAAGAAAACTATTATACTGAAATTCTTGCTCTAGACACAAAAATACTGAACTTCAATCAAATGTGCTTTTATGTTTTTTATCTTTTTTACCAATTTAACTCTGTATTTGTCTCAGGTTTACATAGAAATAGAACTGTTTGCATAGAAAGAACTAAATTCAGATACTGAAAATCAGCTATCTGTTTGCATCTCAGAGATGAACACTATCTTGTGATTCATTATTTTTCTATAATAGCTCTCTAAGCTTTTAAGATTATTCAATGAATGCCTAAATTCTGTTTTTACATATACTAGTCAAAAATCAACTAACTAAAAATTCCCAAATACTACATGTCTCTGTGCTGCTTGACTTACTGCAATCTTCCAGTTCAATTAGCTGTATTTTCAAGTACCTTCTCTTTTCAATGACAGCAAACCTGTAGTATGAGTAATTCACAATACAGTCCAATGAGGTATTCCCAATTTTGGGGGCAAAATATACTGAAAACAAAGCATTTTTCAATAGTGAAAGAGCAAGTCGGGCCTCTTCTGGTCAAAGAGAATGCTGCAGGAGCTTGTGGACAGCTGGCACATCTGTGGCAAGTTAACAACTCCACACTGCAAAACTGATATTGCCAAGTTAGTTGGCGTGTCCCTTGGGCTGCTTTTGGGACTGAACACGTGCTGTGGAAAAGATACTGTCAGAAGATCACCCTTCTTAAGAGCACTGGCCAAACAGGCAAAGCTCCCTCAGTCTGCCTTCTCTTAAATATTAATGAGTGAGATTTAAGAAACATGTTTTCTCCTCCCATTGTTCATGAACACTGGTGAGGATAGAGAAATTGCAGTGGCAAATGCAGGCATCCCATGACTGGGACCACAGTTACAGTGACAGCAGAAACCGAGTGGTAAGTGCAAACATGTACCAAATTTCATGCGGATATATTCATACGGATCCTCTTGCCAGAGTTCTTCATCCTCATCTTTGTAGCACATCAGGGAGAATATGACATCTTCTGTTATACTCTAGTATTAGAGAAGTTAAATACATGTCAGCACAAAAAAATCAAATTCCAGTACAGCTTCCCTGCACTTTTTCCCTCCCCGAACTTGTTTTTGAATAGTGCTCTTTTATTTTGGCTAACACAGATAATATTTTAATACACATGCCTTACTTTTGCAGCAGACCAAGGCAGCAGGAAGAATGTAAACTGACTTTAGTACAATTCAGTGCCACCCATAAAATACACCTCAGGACATAGTTCACAATCAGCAGAACACACCAGAAAACAGCAGAACACAATGTCTACATATGAAAGGGTTTCAAAGTTGTTCCCGTTAGTATTCATGGGACAAGGGAGTTTACAACATGACAAAAAGTATAAAAATCACTTTTTACTTGTTCTTGTACATACTAATTACAAAACAAGTGCTTAAAATAGGGTTTCATTTCCTTACATTTCATATTTCTTTGGTCACTCTCTTGCACTACAATCAAGCATGAATTTCTAAACACTAACAATAAATAAAGCAAGCCAATCGTTATGACTTTGTTGCAGATTTCATTAAAAACAACTAGAAGAGAATCTTTATTTCAGTTAACAATATTTGTAATAAATGATAGTGAAAACTAACCACAGTATAATTTGGAAATGTTATTTTTCCCCAGATTGATTCCTGCATGAGAGATTCATGAAACTGTCTTTAACATATCAAAATCCCTTTTTGTTTGCTTGCTTGTTTTTATGCATCCTGTTGACATGCAGTGTTTACAATAGGGTTTTATGCACTGACCTGTATGTGTGGCTTCATCTGCTTCCATGTTACGGAATGAATGACCCCTTGGTTCAGATAATTTAATGTTTGTTGAAGGACACGTGGAGCAACATAGTCTTTTTGTCTGTATTGGTCTAAGATTTTTAAGAGAACCTAAATAAATAAGAAATTTATATTTTTAGAGGAAAATCACAAATTATGTCTTATGCATCCAGATGCAGTAGACCTGCTCTGTGAATATGCAAGAACAGATGCATTAGTTTTACAGCAAAAGTTCAGTGTTAGCAACCACTGCAATACCTGTGATCCAAATGTTAGAGATCATTTTAAACTTTAAGAATCTGGTACTGCAAGCATTTAACTATGTCTTCACCTTTGCTACTCTAAATAATCCGACAGTGTGATCACTTGCTATTGCAAACGAAGATGCACTTAAACATTCACAGACTTGGCTTACATATGCTTCGGCAAAAATAGGAATAGGTAAGGAAGAGGTATAGGCAGAAAATCTCTAAGTTGGCATGCCTATAGTCTGGCTTCTAAATCATTAATGGTGTCTTTATTCATTTGTACAGCATAGGCCTCTAAAGAAGATGAATGACTGTGGAAGAACTGAGATAAAAATAGAAGGACGAAGCTAAAAGGGAAACTAGGTTAGCACCTAAATCTGTTAATCAGAAGAGATGCCAAACCCTAAACCCAGCTATTTTTGTAATAATCAGATAGTATTAGCTAGCATGCTACCACAAATCCTATTACACAAGGCTTCTTTATTATAAAGGTTTGCTACAGTAAAAAATACCACAGTGCAAAGTCATTAATCTGCATATAATAAATTATATGTGTGTTAATAAAAACAGAGTATTGGCAAGTACATGAATAACAATAAAGAATAATGTATATCAAAATATTCCAAAGTAACCTATTTTCAGAAGGACAATTCTGCTTGAAAATTCTCCCCAGCACTCTTAATATAAACCTTCCTTTGAACATCACACCTTCCCTGGCATCCTGCATCTTCTCTTGGTCTCTTATACCATACGTTCCCTGCACAGGGATTGTCTGTACCTGCTACAGACTCTAGCACAAGGTCAGCACTCAGCAAGTGATAAATAAGTAAAGAAGCCTTCCTAATGATACTCAGCAGCACTGTAGCTCTGCAGAGAAGTGTAATGAATCAGCATTTAAGAGGCAGAAAGGGAAGAAATGGGCACACCACCCACTCCATTTGTCTTGAAAGCTTAACTACTCCTTTGCTATGTTTCCTAACCCTCCAGCAGAGGTAAATTTTAAGTATTTCAAATTAGTATTGCCCATGGGAATCTATTTCACCACTCAGGAGTTAACCACTGCAAAGATCTTAGGAAAAAAAATAAACTGTTTCCCCTTTCTGCTTATTTCATACTTATAGTCTTACCACAATCATTTCCTTCCTTCTTTAGCTCCTATCATTTACAAATATCCACAGAATGATGTACACTGATGGATAAACTGCTCTTTTTTTTTTGTCAAAATGGATGTAGAAGAGTAATTTTCATATCATCTTGGTATTCTGAATAGTTCAATTCTGACTTCAGGTTACAACAGTTTGGAATCCTTCACAGAAGACACTGGAAATGTAAACTTGTAAGAAGGTTGCAGATGCCATGTCAGGGACATTTCATCTGGAAGAGCGCTGAGGAGCCACATACCCTGAAAATATAAATTATCCAGAGAGCTGTCACTCAAAAACCAGCATTCCCAGGGGTTTGTTGGAGTTTGCAGACCAAAGAAAATCAAGAGCCCAGAATCACAAGCAGAAAAGATTACTGCCTTCTCCCAGCCTCTTAGGAGCCTGTTACGTAAACATGTTACTTGTAACCCAAAAGAGTCCGGATGCCCAAGAGCACCTCTTGAGCCAAAAACCTGGGAACTAGCGCTCCCAGGCATCCAGGTTATAGCTGGCTGAATGAGAAACAGGAGGAGCTGTGCCACAAATGTCTGAGCTTGGGAGCCGACACTTTCAGGGTTTCCAGCACCCAATTCCTATAGCCATTCCACCAAGTCAGGGAGATGCTGGAAGTCTGGAAGCCCCGGTTCCAGGGGGCTGGGAGCTGAGCTGGCAGAAAAACACAGAAAATTCTGAAAGGAACTGCCTCTCTCCGATGCAATCTTATCAAAACTGAATTGTCTCCACAGTACAATGTTTATCACAAAAGAGCATTTCCCAACAGAAATAATTTTTCTTGCAAACTGTGAATTTATGCTCTATTTTCACAGAACTTGCTTTCTAGGCTTGTATTAACTTCTGTTGTTGTGCTCAAAACACCTTCTAATCCGCTTCTATCTTCCAGAAATAAAACAGTCAGGCCAGAATCCAGTGTTCCTAGGCTGCTTGCAGCGTAAGTACTTACAAGACGTATATACACCATATGAAGAACTGCTTTCTAAGCACTCAACATTTTATGAGAATTTACTGCATAGTTTTTTTGAATCATGGAAAATTTGTGTTGTTATATCTCAGTTGAGGATAGCACTAAAGAGTTCTAAAGAACTTCTCAATGATCACAGTGAAAATTTGCCCAACTGTCCAGTTTTGTTTCCTGACTGCACTTAGAGTCAGGATATAGATGAGTGCCCTATTGAAAAATAAGTTTATTCAGAAAAAATAGCAAATTCAGAAACAAATTATTTGTTCTTACCTGTTGTATTCCAACAGCATATGTTTTTAAGAAAAACTCAGAGAATTCAAAATATTCTTTAGTTACATTTCCAGGACTTCCATACCTTTAAAAAGAAGAGAATACAGATACTTACACTGTGAGAAGTCTTGCATGTCAAGAAAATACAGCACTTTCCAATACACAGAGGACACTGAGCAGTCTCCCATCCCCAAGAAATCTTTTTTCACAAATATCCTTATAGGCCATTATCTCTCATGCTATGTTCCTCTTCCCTTTTCTTTTCTTAGATCCTCTTAAAGTACAACACTATAGTCACGTAAATATAGATTTTTTTTTGTTATGTGTCAAGATGCATAAATTCTATGCTTTTGGGATTACTTTTCAAATCTTTCTATCCCTTTGGACTTGATAATATGAGCATTTGTAGGGGGTTATAGGAAACAACAACAACAAACCCTGTACTTTTCTTGCAAAGCTAGATCACTGCCAGCTTAGAGAGCCAAACCTTTAAAGTAATTTCTCGTACCAGTGGCTGGGATCAGTGTGAGGCAGAGAAAAGCAGCAGGACTACCTTTTTTTGGTGATGATGAGCTCTTAAATAAACTTAGCTCTAACTGCATTCAAAGTACATTAAAGATTTGCAATCCCAAGATAATTTTTAATCTGTTCATTAGCTCATACCGTTCAAAAAGACGAGCTACAATATGCAATGCCCACTTTTTGCATTTCCACCATACCAGCTCTGGCCTGTCATCTTCATCAATTTGCAAAGTCTCCTATAAACAAATACATTTGTTTTTAATTAATTGTGTGCATGCTTGACAGAAATGTTTCAAATATTCCTTACGTGTGTGGAAACCAATACAAATTCATAGCATTGAGTAAAGCTTTGGTTCTATTAACAATTGTACAACTTTCAGGATTTTTTAATTTCTTATTAGGACAATAGAACTCTGTACGTGCAATACCCATACAATGTCTGTATTTTTGATTTTCAAAATGATGGACCTTGAAAAAACTAAAACTCTCACATATACTTAAATAACATATAGTAGCTTCCACTTTTGCTTAAAAATCAAGCATAATACTATTCCCCCAACGTTACATACCTATAACATATATTAACACAAAAAAAATTAAAATGGTGTGAAATATACTTCTAAAACTAAAATCCAAATATCAGGTAATGCTATACAGAAAAACTGAATTACTTTTTTGTTGTTGTTCTTCAAAAAAAGTAGAGAAGGGGTGGAGAAAAAGACAGAGATAAATGATGTTTGTGATGAGCCTTTTCTTCTCTTTTTGAGAGAAGATGATTAAAATACTCGGAAACTTCTAAAATATCTAGGATTATCACTGCCTAAGGTATTGAAACCATGACAAGTCTGCATGATATTCCTGCATTTGCATCAGAAACAGCACTAAGAATCTGAAACTCCTAATTTTAAGAATCTAGAGAGATGGCATCTTAAAAAAGAACACTTAAAAAATCTTCACACTGACTGGTCTTCCTATCTCAGAACCCAAGTATTGAAAGTCTTTAGGGAAACAAATCTTACAGGAGGCACATTTCTATCAATGACAGTATGGAAGATCTCCATCCACTGAGTCATAGTCTGGTTATTCACCAACTGGAGTGGCAATGCATACTGAAATAAGAAAAGAAAACACAGTCATGAAATACCTTTTTTTCTCTCTGATGCCTCTATAGATGTTTTTAATGTAATTACATCCCTAGGAACACTAGGTTTTCAATTATGTTTCAGTTAATTATGTTTTCAATGATTGATTTCAATACTGCTCTAATTGTATCTTCCTTAGCAAAACTGACAGGAATTTCGGAGCAGACACTATTTCTGGGAGTCCTGGGGCCTGAGAATCTACAAATTCTTTTTGTTTCTTTCCCTTATTCTTAATAGTCTAGCTCACTTTTACGGACCTCGGCAGTGTCACATGGCTTCGGGAAACCAGCAACATTCTACTAAATGGACTTTACTTTGCATGACTAGCTAATAAATTTTATTTCTCTACAAAATCCAAAGCAACACAACAATATGCAGCCAAATGTTTAGAAAATAAAATACAACCTTTGGTTTCCTTTAATCCTTCCCCTATATGAAAACAAATTATTTTAGCTTTCTAATCCTCAGTCAGATCTTTCTGGCTGCTCCTTATACATATGATTTATTCTACTTCTTATTCACTAAGAGTATCACCTTCACCAAACTCATCTCTGTAGAAGGTGACTCAATAAATATTTTCTATACCAAATTTTTAGAAGAGAAATGCCACCTACTGAAGAGCAGCCCTACTTGTCAACTATACTTTAATATGCAGTATTGCCACTTTCAAAGGCTAAACAGTGCAAACTAGGTACTCATATATTTTCTATCAGATTATAAGTGACTGCCAGCTTTAAAAAAATAGGAACAACCCTCCAGCAAGTTCACAGGCAGAATGTGCATAAATACCTAGGTTCTTTAAAAATTTATTCTGGAGGATCACATGACCAGTTTTAGCCCAGAAAATCTATAAAGGTCATCTTTTTATAGAAGGTATTCAGTGCATTTTTTTCCCCATCAGCGCTGGTATTCTTATTCAAACACAACCACGTGGACACTGAAGGGGACTGCTGTTCCCAGCAAAGTAAAATTTTGGTTTCCATGTACACAGATGCCAACCTGAACAAGAGCATAGAAGATTTTTAAGATTTGTTTCTGAAGCAGTACAGAGTAATGGGAGTTATCAGGCAGAAGCTGTATCATCTGCTGCTGAATCCGAGGCAAAAATATCTGCATTGCTGCTATGAGAGGATCTCGTTCCTCTGCTTTCTTGTATCTGAAAGACAACAAAAATACCGGTCAAGGTTTACACAGTGGAAGTTCTAGAGCCTACTCCCCACCAACAATTTAATTACTATACCCTAAAAAATCAATATCCAACACTCACTCAATCACTCTCCCCTCCTCCAACTCCCATCTCACAGTTCACGCAATTTGTGTAAATTCTGTAGCCTATAATAGAGAAATTAAAAACAACAAAAATTACCTCATATAACTGCATCTACTAGAAAGAAGGGTTAATGTTCTTTGCTACTGGAATGTAAGTTCATAGGAGCAGGGACTTGTCATTTGTATCAGTGCCACATCCATACTGGAGGATGAGCAAGTAGGAGTGAACATCTTTTGAAAGGGAAAGACAACTACTTTGTTTTATCAAGATTCTCCCTTTGTCCACTTACACTTCTTTTATACAGTTTTTACATATGTTTTTAACACAGATAACTTTAAAAAAATGAGTGAGTGGGCTCATAAACTTCTGTTAATGTATGCTTAGCAGATGTAGACCATGAGGAAAATGGTATAGATAACAGAATGAAATAGGACTATGTGATGAAGTCAGTACTACATTCATGACATGAAAGTAAAAAGTAATCGGCACTGATACATCCAGCATTTGGAGGACCCTCGAACAAAATAAGTTATAAAATTAAATAAATCTTTCACAGGTATTACAAAATTCAAACCTCAAAAAAAATGTCAGTAATCTTACATAAATTCTTACTGGACTCTTTGCTTTCCCAGATGATATAAAGAAGATGAATAGCCTTAATTTATTTGTAGGAAAGGAAGCATGCGACAGTGAATTATTCCCATTCTCCACCTGAATTCCTTGCAGAACTGCTGGTGCTCTTAAGAACTTCATTTGCAGGAATCAGCCAAAACCCAAAGTGCTGACTGATAGCACACAGATACACAGCAACTTACTCATAAGTTTTCACGAGCTGATAGAGGCACAGGAGGCTCCCTAGCCAACTTGCACTGTTCTGAGATTGCAAGTAGTAGCCTATCTTGTCTACCACAGCCGTCCAGTGGCCAGGAAAGTCGTGCTTGATGATAGCTCGGAGGCACATGGTCAGCTGGGCTCTTGGGCAAGAGGGAAACAAAAAAAAGACATTGTAAAGTAAATAAGATTCCAATTATATTGTTTAACTGATACCAAATACTGGTTTAATGGATAAAATACACATTAGATCACAAGTATCACACATTTTGACAGCACTGAAAGCCTTCTGGGAAATGGCAGAGAAAAAGCATGGGGGAAAAAAGTCCCAGAGGATTTACCTTTAAGGAAGAAACGAATTTCAAATCATTTTAGCTACTTTTTCTCTTTTCTTTAATCTCCACACCTACCAGGCAGTACTTAAAAAAAACTTGCTTATAAAACAAAGCCTTTGGAGATTGTGTTTCTTGCTGATTTGATATCTTTCCCCCCTCTATTCTCACAAAGAGACAGTAAAATATCAGTATCACGGCATGATACTAGTTATAATAAAGTTTCTTGGACATTTTTACCCATGTGGTAAATCTACAGGCTATTACACAGTGTTTACAAATCTCTATTTCATTTAGGGTGATTTTCACAGAGTTTTTAACAATCCTTTCAGATATAGATTGTCCCTGGAATGTCATGACATTTTGAGTATAAGGCTGTGAAAAGATGTCTGGACTAACTTGACAAAAACTTCTCAAACCTCTATTATTGTGGGTTCTTTTGAATGAACTTGAATATTTGCAATTATGATACGATGGTATGGGAAACAACATGCCTTTGCTACATTGTGACCAAAATGACACAAGTTTTCTTATATCGTAGCACAATTTTGGCACAGAGCAACGTCTTTTATTTGGGATTCTAACCATCAAAGTTAGAAAGTGTAAGAAAAGCCAAACTGGAAAAGATGTTTTAGTTCATTCTTGTCCCAATACGGAACCATCTATATTCCATGCATTCATGACAGGTGCCTGCAATCTATTCATGAAGACCTCCAGTCTGTAAATCTTAACTATTCCCCCAATAAAAGGAGAGCAGCATTTCTTCATTTTTCTAACATCTTAAAAACATGAATGCTAAGTGTATTTAAAAAAACTGGGAATACATCTGTAAACTGAGAAGAGTATTACTAGGGAAAAAACAAAAACAGATCTTAGACAGTATTTCTCCAAATGGATAAATTCTGCATTACAGATAGTCCTCTATCTGCTGTCAATCAACGAAATAGACAGGAAATCACTAGAGAAAGTTTTAGAAGCTCATTTAATCTGCCCATAAAATGATAAAACACATCAGTGCTCTTAGTCGGGATAATGTATTTCTGAAAAATAATTGCATATGAATATTTTAAAAACGATTATTACTATAATTATTATTATATTTCAAAAACCAGTACACGCTTTATCTCTCAAGAAACTAAGATTCTCACACCAAGTATTTCTAGATCAGTAGGTCTGAAGTCCTGACCTTTAGTCATATTTCTGTATAGCACAACATACCTCACAAGGTCAGGAGAACGAATTATTCCTTCTACAATGTTATCACGAATCTGCTGGCGATCATTTTCATGAATGTTGAATGGAAATACTGCTTCTCCAGGAGGTGGTTCACGGTCTGGCCAGTACTGTGTCACCATGTTCTTTAGGTAAATGGCAGCTAAGTATAAGCATCATGGAAATAATAATTTCAATTTAATTCTACAAAATCTCCACAATACTCTGTGCTTAACATGTAGTACAACTGAAAGTAGAAAAATGAAAAGAAAAGATGACTGGAAACCACTATAAGTTAACAATTATAAGCACTAGCACAATTAAGTCTGATGTCTGTAATGATGAAAAAGCAATTTTTCACCATTACAGTCATCAGACTTAAGTGCCTCATGTTAAATAGAATAAGGCAGTACTTCTGTCAACTTCTACTAGAGTATATTCTTCATTACAGTAGTCTTGCATATGGACATAATATTTTACCATTCTAGACAAGCAAACAAAAATCTACTTATCTGCATTTTTACTCACCCTCACAACAACTACTCAGGCTTACTAAGTAAAGTTGTGCAAGGCTCATTTAAACAAATCATAGCACACACAGATAGGACATTTGGCTTGGGGAAATGCCCAGTATGAAACTGGCACAGAGCCTACCTTCTATTCAGACAGAAATGTTTGTTGTAAATTCCCTAAGCTTTATCTCAATATTAGGATTTCCCATAATCCTTTAGAATTGTTCCTGACTATCTCACATGCAACACCATGAAAAAATAAAGTTAATCTTCAACTGAAAGCAAGTAGCATTTATGCCTCAAAATACTAAAATGCCTGTAGATGTTTTTCAGCAAACATTGGAAACATGGTGTAAGATATTAAAGGAACGCTCATAAAAAATGTTATTCCTTTCCTCTTCTGGTTGATTACTGACTAGGGACTTAAATATAAATAAGATAACCTTGGATACAATCATTTTTCTTGGTTATGAAAAATTACAGAGTATGAAAACATATGGTTTGTTTGTAAAATAATCTACAGTCGAAAGAGGAAAAATGTTATTTTTCTACGACATGCCAGAATATTCAGACAAAAGCCAAGTCCAGGAAGACTAGTCCAGGATTTCAATTTACTGAGTCCACAGATCATGATGGTATACAGATTCTGGGCTTTTTACAAAATCCCAGTGAAATCTATTGAATTAGAAATTTAAATGTGTTTTTTTATTTTACATCCCCATTGTGTAAAAATACTGAATTATGTTCTATCCTCTTCCTTGTTTTTTTAAAATGAATGATACTAAAAGGAGATTTTTCTTTATTACTTCATCATTTCATTTTTACTATTTTATGAAAATGGCCTTGTGGATTCTGGATTAAGCATCCAACTTGACCCTGGCATGTTTTAACACCACCATTCAAAGTTGGATTCCCTTTGATAACGTACACGCCAGCATGACAAACAGCCTATGTCAGCACGCCTCAACATACGCAGGGGATTAGTAGGATCTGTGCACACAAAACAGAGCTTCTATGGGAAATGGTTTTCCATAGCATAGGAACAGCTGTGAATGAAGCACTGCTCATCTTCTTCCAAAAGCTGAATATTTTCTGTGTCCATAAAAAATGTGTAGAAATAGTTAAAATAGATTATGAGAATTTTGAGTCTGATCCTTCACTCATGTATGCCTTCAGGTTAACTATATCACACATGCAAGTTAGTCTTTCTAGAGGTGCTCAGACTATAAGTTTATGATTACTTTTGATGTGGCCTTCCTTCATATCTACTTTTGTGAGCGGACATCAGAAACATGAAGCATACTTGGGTGCCCTTGAAAACTTTGTTTTCATTTTTTTTAAACTTTCTTTTTCCTAGAGAAAAAAAAAAGGATTCAAAGAGAGAAACTCATTCGAACAAGAACTACTTAAAAAAAAATCTTCTATTTGTTTTGTCACTGTTCTGAGAAGAAAGGGAAATACCTTTTATAACTTACCCTTATAATACAGGAAAAAAATATGTAGAGAAGTTGCCCTGCCAAATCTTTAAATTTCCATGGTCAGAGCAAATATGAGGTTGCCTACATCAAAGCAATTAAATACTCTGTTGTAAGAGCAAGAGACTTACGTTACATTAACATAAAATGAAACAAGAATTTTAGCTCACCTGCTTGACGTACTGGAAATTCAACTTGATCCGATACTATGATTTGCAGTAGACTTGGAGCAAAATTGATAATTTTGTAGGACTGAAATACACAAAACAGAGCAAATCACTGTATTTAAAGAAGACTGTATTAGCAACAGCTGAATAAGAAACACAAACTAAGAATTTTGCACACTGTTTTTTTGACTTTCCTCATGAAGTATGAAAGGAAGGTTTCGGCGCTTGGATTTCCCAAATCAGCAGCATTCCAAATAACTACATGCAAAAGTAGAGCATATAATGGCATACAGGTGGAAGCAGTAACATGACAAAGCACTCTGATAGAGATTAACCGTAGTAAACATTTAAATAATTCTGACTATGCATAATGGGGAGCACTACATATTTGTCTCTGAATTATTTAACTTAGCCTAAGTAAATCAAATGGATGTTGACTCATTACATCAATATACAATACTCCTTTGTGAAATGGGTTGTGTTTTAATATAAATACTTGAAAATTATTCTAAGTAGGATCTACATAAACCATGTGCTATTCAGCTATTTGTCAATTAACTAGATGTATACTGCATGATAATAAAAGAAAAAAAGGCAGGAGGTGGGGCAGAAATATAGTGGAATAAACATTTTTAATTAAAACCAAGTGTGGACAGCTAACTTTTCAAAACCCACAACTTCCCTGGGAACTGTTCAAACACCTCATCAACTGCACAAGTGAAGAATTTCAAAGAGCAAGCCCCGCTCAACAAACTTCTGAGCGAAGTAGCCAGGTTTGAAAGATGTGAAAATCTCATAGTCTTGCACTGCTGTCATTCAACGGATCCTCCAATGTGAAGAATTGATGATTCAGCACGGTGCAGTTACTGCTAAGCCTTGGCAACATCAGTAGTTACTACCAGGTCAGACCTTTCATCATTTAGATCCATGAGCTTGATGTTCGAAGACAGATGTTTCTTGGGGGCTAGATGACAGAAACTTTCTTTATTTCACCTTTTACAGTATTTCTTTTCAATCAGATTATGTCTGGCAGCTCTTCAGTTATTTCCAGAGCTGCAACTGACAGAATGCTATAACCCTTCTTAATGTCATCCAAAAGCTGTGAAATAGAAATATGTTCTTCTCTTTGTATGCCCAATTCCTTGATCTAGCATTTTCATAGGGAAGTAATATCACATAGCTTTCATGAAGCAGGAGTGGCAGATCAAAAGCACCCTCTCCTGCAATTCCCTTCTCATTAAAAATGAGTTGGTCATAAGCACTGCTAAAAATAAAACAAAACTTTTAACTGAAAGCACAAAATCTCCATTTATCTATCGAGGCACTGAAATACCAGCTTCAAAATCAAATGGTTGAAGCATACTGGATTGCAAAGACCACGTTTTAATCGAGTATACTGGAGTCCGAAGACTCACCCTCAATCTTTACGGGGCAAAATCTCTACAGTCTTGGCACGTTTGAGCCCAAGGCTCTGAGATGCACCCTAGCAGGCACTACCACTCCATGCAGCTTCCAGAGATTTAAGGAAAGTGCTGTCCCTTTTCTTCAAAATGATGTCAACATGCTGTTCTTAGACCCAATCTGCACACAGCTTTTACTGCTGTAATTGCATTAATTATGAATGCAACTTTTTTTTCTTTCTTCTGCAATAAACCTACCAGTATCGCATTCACAGTGAACACAGTGCCAGCAGTGCAAATTATTCCTCTTTCTCTACGCAAACACCTTTTACTGAATCTACATTAAAGCCACAGCTACTCCAGGGTGCTTTATTGCTACCACTTGTGCTGGCACAGGACTGCTAGCCCTGAATTCTTTCCAGGATATACACACATATGGTTATTTGGCCTGCACAGTGCATCATCTCAGCAGGGGCCTGCTGTGACAAAAGACACATCACACAGAAGATGAGCAGCATCTCAGAGGAGGGCTGCGGAACAGAACGGATCTGAAACACCAGCACCCCAAGCAAGACTGCATGAGCATGCTATTGAGTTCCCACCAAATCCTTCTATCCCTTCTATCCCTATCTTTACTTTTACATTACGATTTTTAACAATGCCCTAGTTTCCTCATCCATCCTATAGCTCACAATTTCACAAAATACTATTATTAGGAACACAAAAATTGCCAAGATCAGAGTTTGTGTGCCCTTTTCAGAATCAGGACACCTGATGCTCTCATATTTGTGAAGCTGGGGTAGCACAACGCTCACTTCTGCAGCACCAACCCAGGCAGGAAAACTCCCCACTGCTTGCAATTTTCAGAACAGAGGACTTTTCAAAAAGCTGCGTGCAGCAACATTTTTCCCATAGCAGCACATTCTCACTGAGTTAGTTGTCATGCTAATTGTCAACTTGGGATTTATCCTTCCCCTCCCTTGCTCGAAACTGTTTAACAGGCACCTGCGCAGCAGCAGCTACAGCTGTAGGTACCCTATAAGCAGGTGCAGAACAACTTTCAGTTGGGCATCGTGTAAGTAGGAAAGACAATAAAGAGATCTCAGAGCTGGACCAAGGCAGTTATTTGCATTTCTATAGCTGCACATGACGACATACATAGCATTTACAAACGAGAACAGGAGCATCACTGGTCCCACGAGGATAAGGCAGAAAGCTGCCATTTCCAAGAGCTGTTCACAGGAGCCACAGTGAGGCACCACATGGCTGAAAAAGATCTTCAGCCCAACGCCAGCAGCACCCAGTTTATCCAGCAGCGCCCTGCTTTGCATGAGCTGCTGAACAAGGCCATTTGTCTCGCCTTTAGATTTTAACCATTTGGTAAAACTTTCTACGAATGTTCTGATCAGTGGGGGCATGTTTGTTTTGAAGGAAAAGACAAAAAAAGATGTGAAAAATAAACTCTGAAAAACAATTTTTTAAAGAACAGCAGTTATTTTAAAGCTGTGTGAAGCACATACCAAATACTCTTGTATGAATCACAGATGAAAGCAGTTATATTTTAAAAAATAGCATTTAATTTCCATGGGAACTAAGAGAAAGGGGCACAGCAATGTCTGAAAGTAGCAGGTAAGCTGGAAGAGGCACATGGATAAGCACACTGGGTATAGTTAAAGCAACGCCCGAGGAAATGCCTGTGTCCCCAGGTGTCCTGTCCCATCGTGTTCACTGCCTCAGGATATACACACTGGGGCTCTATGTCTCCCTGCATTCTGCTTGTCCTTTTGCCTTTGGACTAACATGCTTCTCTTCTACTCCTCAGCATCACAGGTGCACTCTTCAGATCTCATCTTTTTGCGCCTATTTTCTCTTCTATTTGATCTCGCATACAACAGATGCCATCCAAGAAAGCCTCAGATGGGTCACTGAAAAACAGCAAGACGAACACCATTATGTGTAAAGGGCACAAGGAGAGATAAGCAAGAAAAATGATAAAAAATGGATCAAACGGCTCCTCAAATGGATGCCAAATTGCCACTACAGCAAATACTTTTTCAAAGACAACATGTCGATGTGGCTCTCAAGATATCATTCATTACATACTACTAAATTTATTTCACTGTTATTCTTGCATCTTGCCCATTGCAGTACCAAAAGCCTAAAGCTAGCAGATATTCAGTAGCCACCTTTGTCAGTCATGTTCCCACTGTCACAATAGCAGCCACTGGGGCTGACCGCAGAATGGCACAGGAGGGTGCTTCTTCCTCTGCTGAGTAACAGCAACAAAAAGGGAGTCTTCTATCCAGTTCTGCAAGCCATGTCAAGACCATCTTTCTCTGTCAGCAGTGAACATCTTCTTTTTAACTTCTGAATCCAATATGGCACTTAAAAAAAATGGCTTTTCAGCTCTTGAACTGAAAAAATCAAAGCACTGCATTTTTGTTCATAAAGATAAATGCACAGGGAAAAGAATGTAACCTGAATATCTAGCCAATTAACTGCTTGAAAAGATTATTTTAAGGCTTTCATGTATTTGAGTTGAATGTTCTGCTATCTGTTTTACGAAGCCTTATTTTCTGCTTGCTGAAAATATGTTACTTATAAACTCAGCCTTTTTAAATTTGGGAATATTTTTGCAGCTGCTAATAGAATTCCCTCTTGTTTTTAACATTAGCAACCACAGACAGGTTGTTAAAATAAGCTAGCACTTCAGAAGACACTTCCTTCTTTCCTTGCCTACACACAAACCATTTTCTTTTCGGGGAGGAACAGGGGGAACCACGCATTTCCACACACAATGAAGATAAAGATGCATAAGATACTTATCGAGCTTCCTCCCTCCGCGTGTTCTGCTTCCAAACTCCTCCAATCTCAGATAAACTCTGCTTTTCACCAAATTTCTAAAATGCAAGTCAGTCTCCTCTTTAGATTTGTCTCAAGTGGGAATCTGAGATTCCTTCCTCTTGATAATATGAAACGTTTATTAACTTTACTACAGTGGCCTTAAGATCTCTGACTACTACGATACTCAGCTCAGCAAAGATGTGGAACAAGTTGAAGGATGTCTAATTTCATTCTGGATTCTTCTGTGTTTGGGCAATCTCATAACATTTTCTTTTCTCCCAGCACTGCCTATCAGTTTCTGTCAAAGCAACTTCTTCTCAATGTTAGCACAAATATCTGTATTTCTGCCATTGTGTTCACACTGTCTCCTTCATCACAGGCCTAAGAGATGTATGAGAGCAGGCTGAGCAAGAGAAGATTAACATACAAAAACTGTAACAGTAATCCTATCTGAACTGGAATTAGTCAGAGAAGACTTCGTATGTCCATATACTTAGACAAAAACCTTCCACTATATTCCAAGAACTGATGCACAGAAGCCGCATTTAACAAAAAAAAAAAAAAAAGCCTTTTAAGCAACAAAAAAAAACCTCAAGCCCATAAGTCAGACCAAAGAAGAGTTCGAGCCTAGAAAAAATATCAAAGGTTTTATAGGCAAGGAGGTGTATCAAAATCCGGTATCTTTCTTTAACATGATAATTGAATGATCGAGGAAGTACAGTGTGATTGATCAATATGTTCCTATACTGCAGACCAACTATATTGGGACAGAACAGGAAAAAAAAGAAAGAAAGGGAGATGGAAAGATGTGTAGATTTAGAAAAACAACAGGCTAACAGGGACATGACAGTGGTCATGTGAGAG